CGTCCTTTCTGTGGGGGGGGGTGTGGGGTGGAGGCTCGCGTGGGGGGGGGGGGGGGGGGGGGGGGGCGGCGGGGGCGCTTAACATATACGAATATTTGATTTCCAACACGCACACCATACATTTACCTACACCACTGCATCCATCCACACCTGCATTCAAATAGGAATATATTGTATCGAGATGTTGTTCATATACGGTCTGTGATCATATGCCACTAATGTCAATCACGTCTGTTGAAGAAAAGGGAGGAAGACAAATTTCTATCCCCACACTTTAACACTCTTTCCAGGTCGCGTTTCACAATAGAGAACTTAACGGTAATGTTATAAAGTTTTAGATTGAATTAAAACGATATATTGATATTTGTGAACGAGTAATACTAAACAAGCATTTTCTACTTTCGATTTGGGCCTATTAAATGATCCGATGATATATACATACAACAGATTTTCGAAATGATTTCGTTACTTTGCCTTCGATGAGATTTTATTTTTAACAAAAGATAAAATTTTGGAAGAAAAAAAAGGCAATCCTCTGTCCTAATTTAATATTCATATAATTTTCTTCGCTCTCTTTTTCTATCAAAAATATGGGCTTTATTTGTCATACACTTCTACAATATACTTTTTTCCTTGCATAAGAAGAAGAAAAAAACGATACATCGAGTTTTATAGGGACTTTTATTCCTACGTGATCAAGCTTTTATTTTCCTTTTTTCTTCACATTTTGACACATTCAAAACCATGAGAAATAAGATGAGCAAATAGTGCTTTCGACTGCCATCCGATAAGAACAAACATACAGCCAAAACAGGCACTACGACCATCAGCAGCAACAAGTAACATGTCATTTCTTTCTCTCTCTCTCTCTCCCTCTTTTTCAACGTTACCTACAATTGTCAATATTCTTATTTAAACAGTACCGCTTGCAAAAAAAAATTTTTTTTTTGCTTAATACACGTTCGCCGACCATATTTCAAGTAGTAGTATTTTTCTTCTTTTTTAAAGCTCTGTTTTTTTTTTTATTCTTTATTCAAAATACATACCATAGGATCCTCATTTATAACGAACCAATCATTAATATCGGTTAAGTAAGTCTTAACTGTAGACATATATTTTTTTTTATTAATAGTCTACTTTATATAAAACATTGATACCTGTTATGTTGTATTTTGCGTAGGCGTTCTTGCAAGGATAGATACATTCTAGCATTTAGAGAATTTCCTTGCATAACGCACTATGCAAGTACCACTGGGGTTATACTTCATTCTATTGGCAAGTATATACAAAACAAATATATAATTGTCTTTTTTCTTTATTGAATTTTTTTGTTGAATATTAATTCTAACTACGTTCAAGTTTCATTTTCATCTGATTTATCAAGAATTCTATTACGAAATATATTTTGACTTAAGAAACAACGTTAACCATTTGAATTATTTTATTATTCAATTAACAATTTGTATATTTTGTTTGTTACTATAATATATTTCCCATAATTTTTTTCGTTTCTCTTCATCTTTAAGTTCAATTAAAACATCATTACGTATTTTTTGTTCATATAAATTATCAGTTGATTGATAAATATTTGAATGTTTATATACTTTAAAACGATCTTGTCGTCGACCAATACCATTAATAAGTATAAGACCAAATCCAATAGCATACCATATTAGAACACCTATGATATATATCATTGCACCTCGTTTATCATATGTAAATAGTTCATTTATTGAAGTAACATTTGTTGGTAAGTTTACCATTATTATAAAACAGTATTAGATTGTTTTTACGTTTGAAAAAATAACACAATTATTTTCATTCTATATTTATACAGTGTAATTGGAGATGATCTATAGGTGACCTTCAATTTTAATAGAAAAAAAAAGGGGTTTGTTTCTATTCATAGAAAATGCATTGAATAAAAAGAAATATATCCAATTATTATATAAAATAGTATAATATGTCATATGAGTAAATTTTATTAACTGTTTTTCATCTGTCATCGAGAAATATATTTTATGGTAAGTATATTTAATTATTGATTAATTTGCATCTCAATTATGGATTCATTACAATCTTTTTAGCAAAAAAAAGATTACAAAAGACGATTGTATTAAGCTTTTGACCAAATACATTTGATATTAATTGAAATCATTATAATGAAAAAGAAAGCAACATTTAGATCAATCAATCTTCACAATTACATATTTTCTTTTGTCTTTGGTAGAATAAAAATGATTATCAATACCATGGACGAATTATTAAAATGCAAACATGATCAGTGTTTTTCACTCCGATTGTGACAAATAAAGACTTTGAGAAGGCAAACATCAATTGTGTGGAGCACAGGTACATATAGTACTGGTCAAAACTATAAAGACCAATGTAGTTTTTTTTCACAATGCTGAATATTTTATTCAAAATTAAATAGTGATATCAGTAGCCAATGAAGCGCAATCTTCTCTTAAAAAGTTATCAGAATGACAAAAAATGAAAAATGATAGACAATGTGTCGACTCTTCATTTTATTCAGAATTTTGTGTTGTTAAAAAATAATTTTCACATCTTCTTATTTAGTTTTTTAGAAACTTTTCTATGACAACCCATCGATGAAATTTCGATATGGAATACATTTGATAGAGAACATCGTTGGCTATTTGACTTTGAGTTGGATACTTGTTATCATAGAAAACAATTAAAAATACATTAATCTTATATTTTTGACGAGTACTGTAGAATGTTGTACAATAAAAATAAACTCGGGAAGGATCAACTCGATGTGAGGAACGGCACCGCCATCTCGATGTCCACACACTAGATCAAACACTAAATTTATTCAAATGGACATGATAATCTAGTATCTAAATAAATGATTGTAATCCTATACCTCTCACCATAACATTTCCAGTCTTCGTTAGGCCAATAGGTATACTAGTTCGAATAATGGTGAGTAGCTTATTGAACAATTATCAATCAAGGTTCATAATTATTGATTCATTATTCTTCAACCTCAAATATAGTAAGATGGGTGTGTGTCGCTTGAGCCTCTTCCTGTTCCATACCGACACCCAAATAATTTTTGTATCTATAAATAATGGCAATCTGTTCACTAATTTATGCGTAAATATTAAGAAGTATTACATTACAGCAAAAATGTTTAAATTTGTTTTTCATATCATTACTCTTCCCAAGGACAACTCCAGTTGCCATTTTATCTTGTACAATCTTTTGTTCAACTAATTCATGCGAAAATTTTGAAATGCTTTCGCCGATATTGATCATACAGTACATAATCCAGATATCTATATATAGATATTTCTCGTGGATATAAAAAACAATTAAAAAAAGAACTACGCCCTTTTTTTTTTTTATTAATCCCATAGTCATATATCTTGGAGACAGAATAATGATACAAAATATTGTTTTACTGATTAGCAGCTTCAGCTACTCTCTCCACACTATGTATAAGAATTTTTTTTCGTACCACACATTTTGCCATGTCTGAAAAATATTTCTAAAAATAGCATTGCCAGTTGCCAATGAGAGGTAAATGACTAATAGATTGTTTTTGTGATATATATTCACATTTTTATTTTATCATTGCAATCGAACTAGAAAATTACGTGTCTGATTGAAATTATTACTATATTTATTGTAACGAGTATTAATATGATTGTTCTTCAGTTACCTTTTCTCTCTTTCTATTGTAGTAGGAGAAAAAAGAATTAAAATACATTTAACTTATTTCTTTTCGTTTTTTTGCATGAATGAAGGCTTGAATGATTTCGTTGAATATGACATAATTCACACATTTATGATAACTATCGAAATAAAGAAAAAGATGTGTTTCAAATAAAAAAATTATTGTATTCATAAGATTCAATAATAGCATGTGAATTTTTATATCTCGATTTGATTTCTTCTAAAAATCAAATATAATTAAAAAAGAAAAACACATCGAGTCAAATCTTCATATAAATCTAGCGACCTCTTTAATAAACATTTTTTTAATATATCTTTTATTGGTCATTTTAAATACGATCAAAGGAATCCAAAAATGGCTGCCTCTCTCTCTTGTCGACAACATTTTACTTTACTCAATATTTATAAAAAAAAAACATCATGACTTCATCTCGGTGAACTTTACAATCAAACAAAAAAGAAAATATACTCATTTTCAAATGACATTATATCGTTTTCGTAACTGTACATTAATGCGTAATCATGCATTAATTATTGATGATCTATGGATACGTCATGGAAAAATAATTGATCCTGAGAAAATATTTTTCGATGAAAAAATTCAAGCTGATATTGAATATGATTGTCAAGGAGTAATTATAGCATCTGGATATATAGATTTACAAATTAATGGAGCATTTGGACATGATTTTTCATCACCGAATGAAGCTAATGACGATATGTTAATTGATGTTGCAAGAAAATTAACATCACATGGTGTTACAGCTTTTCTTCCAACTATTGTTAGTTCAACTATTGATACATATAAAATGATATTACCAAAATATAAACGACGAGCCGGTTCAGCAAAAAATGGAGCAACTATTCTTGGTTAATTAAAAATAATTATATTTAAAAATTATAATAAAAATATTTCTATTTTTAGGTATTCATATTGAAGGTCCATTTATTAGTGAAAATAAACGTGGTGCACATCGAACAGATTTTCTACGTAAAAGTCCAAATGGTATTGAAGATTTATTATCTTGTTACGGTTCATTTGATAATGTTTCAATAGTTACAATTGCACCTGAAATTTATAATATGATTGATAATGTTATACCTGAATTAGTTGAAAAATATGGTTTAGTTGTATCAATTGGCCATTCAATAGCTTCACTCGATGATGGCGAACGTGCTGTTTGTTCTGGTGCACGATTTATAACACATTTATTTAATGCAATGCTTCCATTTCATCATCGTGATCCTGGTCTTGTTGGTATGAAGAAGAAAAAAAAAATAAATAAATAAAATTTATATGTTCTAATAAATTTTAATTGTACAAAAAAGGTCTTTTAACAAGTCATCGTCTTCCAGTAACAACTGTTATTCATTATGGTTTAATTGTTGATGGAATACATACACATTCAGCTGCTGTACGTCTTGCACATCGTGTTCATCCACAAGGTCTTGTTCTTGTTACTGATGCTGTACCACCATTAGGTTTACCGGACGGTATTTATCATATGGGTGCTGAAAAAATAGTTGTGGAAAAAAAACGTGCAACAATTGCTGGTACACAAACATTATGTGGTAGTATTGCATCATTATCTGAATGTGTACAAAATATGAGACAAGCTTTACTTGATGGTGAAACAAATAAATGTAATCAAAAAAATTTAGATGTCAAAGATAAATATAAATTTATTGTGGAATCTATTGAAGCAGCAACACTTCATCCAGCTTCAGGTAAATATTAAATAGAATTTTTCTTCTAGATCGAATGGCTACACAGTTCTATATTTAACCCTAAGATATTATGAGTCTAGATAAATCATTAATGGCTATTTGTGTCGGATCATTCGTTCAATAGCATGATGACTATTTTACGACATCTGCCTGCTCATGGCCAAAGCTACAACTAGCTTTAGTTGTAAGAAAAATATCGAACTATGAAATCTACCAATAGACAGCATGTCATACTAATAGACCGAAATATTTTTTCTTACAATCGAAAAGTTACAAAAGGTCGTAAATAGACAATTTACTATTAGATGGTCTGTCTGTGGCATGTAGATGCGAGTGCGCATATGTTATTCATCCACTTAGATATCTACATTCACACTATTTCGACCTTTTATACCATTCGAAATATAGTCCTGAATAAAATTAATTGCCTCCCAGGAAGTACTATTATTCTTTTATGATATTGAGCTGATATTTTCGGTATATGCGTACAACAATGAGCTCGCTATTCATTGGTTGATATCTGCTGAAATTATGATTCAGACATCATCTTATCTCTATGATGTTGACACAAATTTTTTTTTCAACTCCTCATTCGAAAGGTTACTGACGTAGCTATCTTTTTCCACGATAATTTTGGTCAATTCATTTGAAAATTTAATTGTTGCAACATTGAATGAAGTCCAATTAGCCCAAAAACATGGGCTCACTATTTTCAGAATGTGCTAATTATTAAGATCTTGACAATGTGTTACAACTTTTGATGGTAATTAAATAGACATATAGGACTGCCTTAAGTGCTAGAAAAAAAAAACATTAGTAACTTGCCGAATAGCAATCATCAAATATTTCTGAGGGATCTAGGATAATTGTTCGTAATGTTGTAATTAAAATTATAGGAAAAGAATTAACAATCTATTCAAGAATAACAAACATTTATAAATACGAATATCTAGTAAACTCTACAATGAATATGGGTTACATATATTCGTAAAATTTTAATAAGTTCAAAAATTTAAATGTGTCACATTCAATTAATATTTGCCAGTGAGATCATCTATGCATTCATTTCATAGTGCAAATCTTCTTTGTTCACATGCCATTCTTATCCCGTACACAGAACTATGCATGATTGAATTACATGTGTGCAAATAGAGGTTTAAAGAACTAAGCTTCTATTAAACATGCAATCAATTGTTGCGTTCTCGATTTTGAGCACATATTGAATTTTTCTGAAACGAAATAGTTCAAGATTTAAATCTAAATTATTCGATGGTCAACGTTTTTTGTCGATGATACAATGAAAAACTGTTCTATCATTTAGATTTAAATTTTGAATTTCAGTAAAACTGCTCTAATGTAGGCATTATTGAGAAGTTTTTAGTTCTTCTTTTGTGCAACCTATAAGTTTTCAGTTGGATTTACTTTAATTCAATTTTTTTTTTAACAGAGGTAAACCAACGAGATCTTACACTAAGCATTATTGTGTTATGTAATATTGATTTGTTTTTATAGTTGTCCCATGATTATTTATCATAATATGATTTTTTTGGGTTGTTTTGCACCTAAGTGGTAGAACGTATGTTTCTCATATTACAGAAGTTGTTATGATTATTCGAACTGGAAATAAGCGCCCCCTATTCAGAATAAGGAGAGACTAATTCTTAGTAAAATTTGCTTGGGGCGAAATAGAGACTGTCTACTATAAGGCGGCACTCACATAGAGAGACTCTTCGGTATTTAATTTTAGAGAAATTTCCTACTTTCGTGAGACACAACTCAAAAGGAGTGTTGAAGTATAGAAGTAAAAATTTTGCTTCCACTCACAGACCGTAACCATAGAAACTCCAGAGGTTGTGACAAGCAGAGATGTGTGTCTCTGCTGGAGGGTGGAGATAGAAGACGAATTCAGTATTTTTTACTATATACTTTGACACTAATTAGTCATAATGATAGTAACCTCTCTATAATCGGCAGATCATTTCAGTCTATTGTTAGAAAAGATAATTGTTGTTATTTTTAGTACTTCGTATTGAAAATCAAAAAGGTACATTATCATATGGTGCTGATGCTGATTTTATTTTACTTGATGATAAACTAAATGTATTATCAACATTTATTGCCGGTGAACAGGCTTGGACAGTCAATGATAAATGGTTAATTAATAATCTTCGTATAAATTAAAGTCCATAAATTATTTCAGCATTTTTGCTGTGATATAATTAAATTTTTATTCTTGTTTTTTTTTTTTTTGTCTTTCGATATATTCGGTTGAATCTTAATTGCAATAAGATAGATAGAGCGATTTTATTATTTTTTCGGGGAATTATGATAATAATAAATCTTTATTTTAGATTAAAAAGATAAAATTATGTCTCGTTCACCGAAAGTTTATTTAACAAGACGAGAGACATTTTCTTCATCTCATCGACTTCATTCCATACATTTATCTGATAGTGATAACATTAAGATATTTAATAAATGTAATAATCCAAATGGACATGGTCATAATTATGTACTTGAAGTAACGGTTGTTGGTCATACTGATGTTAATACAGGCATGGTCATGAATATAAGTAATCTTAAGGAATTAATTCAAATATATGTACTTAATTTACTCGACCATAAACATTTAGATTTAGATGTTGCATATTTTCGTACAAAAAATATTGTTAGTACAACAGAGAATTTAATTGTATTTATATGGGAACAATTATATTCAAAAATTCAAGAACAATATAATAATACTGTACAATTATATGAAATTAAATTATATGAAACAGAAAAAAATATTGTTACATATCGTGGTGAATAAGTGCAATTATTTATTATTATTCTAGTCATTTTCTTCTCGAAATTTTTTGTTTTTATATTATTGAATGTCAATGGAATAAATATTTGTTTATTTTGGTGTCATTGTTCTAGATAGATATGTCTCATATTGTCTCATTGCGTAATGCATCATTACGAGCACTACGGTCAAATTCAACGACTCGAATAGCTATTGCAACTGCAACAAAATGTACAATCTATCCACATCGTTCGAATTTACATCAACAACAATGTTCATTTTCGACTGTTCCTCAATCACCACCTCAAATTTTATCAACCAAAAATAATAGATTTACAAAACGAGTAAGAAATTCTATTCGAACTAAAACAGTTAACATGCAAAAAGAAAAGAATTTTTATTATTGTTGTCACTACGAGAAATTACTAATAATCATGGCGCAGTTCAAAGAGTTGTTAAACTTCAACAAGAATGATTCTTTTTTTCAAATCAATTCAATCTTTTAAACAGCATATGCACGCAAAAAAAAATCATATTAGAAAATTAGAATTTGACATCTCAAAAGTCACAACAAAAAACAAAAATTCATTCCTGTTGGGAAATCTTTTTCATAAAGAGGAAAACACGCTATGTAAAATAAAACAAAAAAAAAAGAAATCGAACGATGTATTAATTAAACTAAATGAACCAACTGCAGAAATATTTCCTTCTTTATAGACACTTTCTGATCAAACATTCTTCATTGATTCACCTCATGTTGGTGTTTACGCATTGACCCGATGTCTTCATACAAGTCCAATCCTTTGTATGTATTTATATTGTTGTTTGATCAATAGAATTAGCTACTTTTTGTTTTTTAATTAGTCGATTCAGTAAAGGTCGCAACACCATCATTTCCTGAATCGGTTAAAGATGGTACAATTCGTTTTTTAAAAAAAGTCGGTGACAAAATAGCTCTTGATGAAACAATAGCTGAAATTGAAACGGATAAAACAAATTTAAGTGTTAATTCATCAGTAGCAGGTACAATCGAAGCTTTACTTGTTAATGATGGAGATAATGTGGTATCCGGTGCTCAGGTAGCTGTAATTAATACAAGTGGTGATGGTGCTCAACCAGCAGTGGCCGCATCAGGTATGTTACCGAGAAAAAAAAACGGAAGTTCACTGACTGATAATTTGCTGTTCAGTTGGAATTATGTGTATCATGTAGCCTCTGATGAGGTATGAATACCTCATTAAAAGAGTTCAAGTTTTTAACTTATGACAAGAGGTCAATTCCATTGAATCATATATCAACGGAAAGAGTATGTTGAGACAAAATACTTTGATAATAGTTCCATAAGGTTTTCATTAAATTATGATATCTAAAACTATTAGCAAAGTAATACATTTTCGTTTATTAGAATAATAAACAAATTTCCAATAAAACTATTCCTCAAGTACTGTTTTATGTCTTTTTAATTAATATTGAAAAGATTTCGATCAGAAAAAGTCCAGCTGTAGTAAAAACTAATATGATATTCGGAATCAGTATAAATAAATACGGAAACTTCGGATTTAAATCCGAGAGTTATGTGTACTTCAAAAAGTGAATCATAAAAATCAATCATCCTAGACTGTCTGAATATCAAAATTATACTGTGAAATCTACCATTTAAAATGTT